ATGTTCTTTTTTTTGTTTGCCAAATAACCCTGTGTATGTGTCCGCCCCCGGAAAAAAGTTCAGGCTCAGGATTTTTTTTTTTGCTTTAACCCCTGGATAACTAATTTCACTTAGAGATACAGCACAATGTGGAAGAAAAGATCTGTCACTAACTCTGACGTTATTGTCTCCAGCTCTGCTGAAGCTTCTATGTGTCTGTCTGTTTTAGGAAAGCCGGGATGGAGTTGAAGAGGAAGCAGGAAGAAGAAGAGCGCAAGAAAAGAGAGGAGGAGGAGAGGAGACTGCAGGTGACCTCAGCTTTATACGTCACATTATTTCTTCTGCATTTTCCCTTCATGTTCATCCCTTAGCAGGGTCTAAAATGAACCTTTAGTCACACCTGCCGATAGGTGAGAATTTCCTGGCCAGGAATGTTTCTTAACAGCTGTGTATTTTGGGAAAAAAAGTGTTTTTGCACCTGTGAGAAGAAGATAGACGTTGTTTCCTTACATACTGTATGGACCTTTTTGCAGGTTTCTCAGCAGCGGAAGTCGTCATAGTTGGGTTAACTTCGAGAGCAGTGAGTGGGAGAGTACCACAAATATATTTTTTGCATTCCCATTTGCTCAAATAGCAAAAGAAAAACTCCACGATAGTGTTCCCACGACTTTCAAAAAAGGAAATAAACTGAGACAAACTGATAACGGCAGTCAGAAGAGAGAGCGATGTCAAATTTACCATCCCTCCCATAGACGCTGCATTAGCGTTAACTGTTTTTTTGTAATTTGATGTAAAGGTGATATAATACAAAGTATAGTTTTATAAAGTTTACATAATTTGTTTACGATGGATTTACGATGCTGATGACCGTTAAACACAGTCTTGTGAAAAGGGTCAATTATAACAGCTGTTTGAAAACATAAGTGCTGCTTGCGTTTTTTTGTGCCGAACACTTGTGTTGGTAGCAGCTGATTGGTTGATATGTGACGAGTGTCTCTGCTGGCGTGTTTTAGGAGGAGATGGAGCTGCAGCTGCAGGCGGAGAGGGAGCAGGAGACGGCCCGACAGCCCGTCCTGGAGCAAGAGCGGCGAGACCGAGAGCTGGCCCTGCGGATCGCTCGGAGCGAGGCTGAGCTCATCCCAGAGGAGACGCCCGTGGAAGCCGGACTGCGCAGGTATTTGTGTCCCTCTGAACGCCGCTGCCAAGCAAATGGCATACCTTCAGGCTGATGATACACAGGGCAACTTTTTGAGCAATTTTGCCGGGCAATTTTTTTTTGAGCAGTGCTGCTTGGGCACTTTCCCACTGAGAATGGGTAACAAATTTCTATCTGGATACTTTAGATCGGTCGTGGGCCCTGTGTCTCACCTGGTTTCCCATAACTAAAGTTGCCCGGCAACATTGCTCGAAAAGTTGCCCCGTGTATCATCAGCCTCAGATGTTTACCCTGCACACCCTACAGTTAAACATGCCTCATAGAGCAATCTTACATCATAATGACTCCAGTGGGCTGAGGAAAAAAAAGGCATTGTACAAATTAGAGCTGTCAAAATGGCAAAAAAAAAACTAAATTTGAATTTTGCACTTAAATATTAGCAATATTCGAATTATAATCTAATTTAAAAGGCATAATTACAGTTAGGGGGAAAAAGCTTTTGGCTTCTCTCCTGAGGCCACTAGAGGGCCCGACAGCCCAAGCAAAATATTACTAATGCACGTTTATTAAAGCTAGGGTTGCACGATAAATCGCATGCGATGATGATGCGCATCTCGTCAGTAAAGCCAGTTCTGTGATTAGTAGTAAATCTCCATCACGTGCTTTCAGATGAAGCGGCATTTAATACACAGAGCCGTAGATCACTGACAAGCTACGCAATATCGCGTTCATAATCGAAGGCGATTCATCTGTTCTGCGATAATGAATGCGATATTGTGTAGCTTGTCAGTGATCCACGGCTCTGTGCAGTAAATGCCGCTTCATCTGAAAACACGTGCTGGAGATTTACTACTAATCACAGAACCGGCTTTACTGACGAGATGTGCATGATCATCGCATGAGATTTATCGTGCAGCCCTAATTAAAGCAATAAAATAACACGACTATTTTTAAAAAAGCGCGTAATGTTTAAAATAATGTTTATAAACCAAATATAATTAATTAAGTTGCTTAAACAATTAGAAACAAAACGGCACCTTGTACATATGTGTAGTTTAATACAAAGGACCGAAAACCAATAACAAAGAGTACTTTTTATATTTAAAAATATGAGATGCAGTGGGATGGGGAAAAAACCGCCATAAAGTTTTGAGACATGTTTGTAAAAGTTGAACTTTTACATGGCTTTCTAAACATGTGACTCTCTTGTGCGAGACGCGAGTGCAACAGTGATAGATGTCCCTCTAGAAAATGTGATACATATGTGTTCTGTGTGAACGGCTTGGATTAAGTTTTGCCATAAAAAAGATCTTCTTCAATTGATGTTCTGTTTTCCCGCAGTATTTTGAATGAACAACCAGCATCGCTGAACTGGATAGGCTAACAAAACATTCAAATGCAACGACACTTACATCGTTGTCGCATCATGTGTGCCATTGATAAGGCTGTCTGACGCACACCTAAAATGTGGATTTTTATTTTAAATTCAACAAATATTCGAAATTCGAATTTTTATTTGACAGCCCTAGTACAAATGAATTACAATACATGTACCGTTACACATTCATTTATATGTTAGAGTGTTTCTTGTCATGCAAACAGTCAATCATACAGCTGCAGGTTAAAGGAATGTGCTCAATGCACAGGGGTTCAATGCAAGTTTAACTTAAAACCACATATGTGACCCTGGATCACAAGTCTTAAGTGTCAATTTTTCGAAATTGAGATTTATACATCATCTTAAAGCTGAATAAATAAACTTTCCATTGATGTGTGGTTTGTTATGATAGGACAATATTTGGCCGAGATAATCCTAATGATTTTTGGCATAAAAGAAAAATCGATAATTTTGACCCGTACAATGTATTTTTGGCTATTGCTACAATTATACCCCAGCGACTTAAGACTGCTTTTGTGCTCCAGGGTCACATATACAGTGCAACCAGATAACAAGTTTTGCTCAAATAATAAAAATCTTTACTAAAGAATTAATGTAAATTGATCAAAAGTTACCATAAAGACAATTATGTTTCAAAAGATTTGCATTTCAAATAAATGCTATTCTTTTGAACGGTGTATTCATGAAAGAAAATGTATTAAACTATTAGGCGTAGTTTTCAAAAAAAAAATTTTTATAGCACATTATTTATTTGGTAACCCTTTTACAATAAGCTGCCATTTGTTAACATTAGTTAATGTATTAACTAACATGAATGAATAATGAACAATACATTTATTACTCTATTTATTCATCTGTGTTAATGTTACTTAATAAAAATACTGTCATTCATTGTTTGTTCATGTTAGTTCACAGGGCATTAACTAATATTAACAAACACAACTTTGATTTTAATAATGCATTAGTAAATGCTAAAATTAACATTAACTAAGATGAACAAATGCTATAGAAGTGTTGTTCATTCTTAGTTAATATTAACTAATGTTGTTAACTAATGAACCTTATTGTAAAGTGTTACCATTTATTTTTATAGCTTAATAAGCTTGAGTATATCAAAGGTCAAGCATAATTAGATTTCTCATGCTTTGACCCCTTTCCTGTGTCTTGAACATGGAACATTCTTAGAAAGCGTTAATGGTGGTGGGATTTAGTTTAATTACCGGCGGAGACTTTGATTAGTTTCTCCGTCACTCTATTTAATGCTCTTCCTGTCTGTTTTTACAGTGTTGCACCACCACCACAAAAACTCAAGAGCTTGACCATGTAGGTTACATTTTTTACTGTCTCCCATTTAAATCTTTATTCTTTGCTGATCATTTCTAGTTTAGTTTAAAAGCAGCTTTTGTCAACTTTTTCCATTAAGCACCATGGGTGCAGCTTATGTCGAGTGTTTAAAATCATAGGTTGAAATCAGAGCCATTGCAGTCTCAGCAGACAATCACCAGAATCATGACATTCAGGCATATTTACGTCAAAACAGTAACTATGTGGCAGTTTATATTGGATCCTGTTTAGTCAAATGCACAAATGGAAAATCCTATGAGCAGTTTACTGATGACGTCATATGCTAACATGTACCATGGTCCAATAATCATGTCCTTTAGGGAGGAAATGGCCAAGGAAATGTCTGATCTTCTGGCTCGGTGGGTAGAAGGGTTTGTTGTTGGCACTACAGATATACACAACCAAAAATCAAAACATTATCCACTGAAATGAAAACAAAATGACCTTGTTGAAGTCTGAAACTGCATAAAATTTGAATCATTCTGATCATACTCATAGTCCAATCACAATATTTCAGTAATTTCACACAATATTTTGTAAATCAAAATGAATCCAGAGTTACATGTTCTTTTATTATTACTTCTGTCTGTGAATTAATGTTCCTTCCTTGTAATTTATTAAATGCTGATTTGTCCTTTTTTTCTTTCTCTGAAATTGATTTCCTGTTATTGCTGTTGTGTAAACCTTTCTTTTCTTCGACGGATCTCTGATACCATCTGTGTTTCGCAATTAAATGTAGACATTTTTGTAGCAATATTTAAATAATATTGTTTATTAATTAGCATGTGCTTGATTTAGTTTTAAAAATTAAGGGGTTTTGTAATTTTGATTAATTGCATGTAGTGATAATCTGTCTTTTTACATTTTAATTGGTATGTTGAGATCCTTGTTGTTTTTGTACCTGGCAGCTTCTCAAATGAGCAAGAGTCCAAAAAGAGTCAGATCAGTAGGAAATTGTATCTGTTGTGTAACTGTATATGTTTATGTGTTTTCTGTGGATTCAGAGGTCCACAGGTGACTGCCACAAATGCTCAAGCTGATGTGAAGAAATATGAACTCAGCAAGTGGAAATATGCTGAATTACGGGACGCCATCAATACATCCTGTGGTAAGAAAGTTGTTTTCATGACTGCATATGAATATGACATAGATTTGTGTTTTATGTTTGTTTGCTTTTTTACTTATGTTTATGACAGTATACAGCAGTCCAAGAGTCCAAACCACACATGAAATTGCTTCAATTTGCATTTTTATCCAATTTAACACAGATATTTGCTTTACAAATTATATTTTAAATCCTGATGATCATGTGATCCATTACTTGAAGTTTCAAACAATGTCTTGTGTGCTTCAGCGTAAGAAAGACAAAGTCACAAACCCCATGTCACAAATTTGCTTTGCATTCTTAAAATCTGAAAGTTCCATTTTAGATTTTAGCTTTTGTTTTAAATGTTACAAATTATGAAAACTTTTTTGATTTCCACATAATTTTTTATGCTTATGAACCAGAAACATAGCATATAATCTGCTTGTCTTTTGTTACTTATCTTAAAATCTGAAAGTTCCATTTTAGATTTTAGCTTTTGTTTTAAATGTTACAAATTATGAAAACTTTTTTGATTTCACATTATCACATTATCACATTATCTGCTTGAAATGAACTTAATTCTGTATTGATGGGTAAAAATGTGAATGTCTGTTTTGTTTCAGTTTCCAACTTTCTTTTTACAATATCCATCTAGATATCGAGTTGTTATCTGCGTGTCGTGAGGAGTTTCACCGCAGACTGAAGGTCTATCACGCGTGGAAGTCAAAGAACAAGAAACGCAACACTCAGGATGAGCAGAGAGCACCAAAAGCCATCACAGACTATGGTAAGAAAAATCCCACTGGAGACCTCCTTTAAAAACTGAGATCGGCCGGATCTAGAGTTAGGAGGAAATGCAAATTAGATATTGTAGACAGAAATAATTTTTGTGTGGGTTTGTTTTTAATAGTTGACATAATTGGAAGCCAAGGCTTCATAGGTGAGTAAAGCCAAAAAATAAACCAACAGCTGACTAACTCCCCAAAACATAACTAAATGACCTAATGAAATGCAAAGAGAAAAAAATCCAATATTTAGCCTAACTCACTCACTTAACTAAGCCAATAGAAAACAATATTTACAATAAACAAAATATCCCTTTTCCTGCTGCTTTCCTAACTATTTTATATATATATTTAATGTTTTTGAAAGCAGAATCTTATGCTTACCAAAGCTAGATTTACTTGACCACAAATGCAGTAGAAACAGTCATATTATGAAATATTATTATAATTGAAAATAAATGTTTTTTACGAGGGCTTTTTAGTGCCACGTTAAAAAATAAAAAATCTTAAGATTACGAGATTAAAGTCGTAATATTTCGAGAATAAAGTCGAAATTACGAGAATGAAGTCGAAATATTTCGAGAATGAAGTCGAAATATTTCGAGAATAAAGTCGAAATGTTTTGAGAATAAAGTCAAAATGTTTAGAGAATTTAAAATTAAATTGAATTTATAATTAAAATAATGTCTCATTATTGTAATCGGAAAGACTCACATGCCGCTTAAACTGAAGCGAATACAGCGATCTGTCACGCCACATTAAAGAGCGTGAAAAAAACACATTATTGTAATATATTGTTTGTATTTCGCTATAAAACTGACAGATTTTGAAAGCTGAGACTTTGGAAAATCTCCCGGTGCTCCCAATCCGGGCCATTTGCATGTGCAAAAGGCTAGAATATACTCTCAAAATATTATAACTTTAATCTTTATTCTCGAAACATTTCGACTTTATTCTCGTAATATTTCGACTTTATTCTCATAATTTCGACTTTATTCTCGAAATATTACGACTTTAATCTCGTAATTTTAAGATTTTTTATTTTTTTAACGTGGCACTAAAACGCCGTCATAGATTTCTATGTGAATATCTGTTAAAATGTAATTTATTGCTGTGATCAAAGCCGAATTTTCAGCATCATTTCTCCAGTCTTTAGTGTCACATGATCCTTCAGAAATCATTCTAAAATGCTGATTTGATAAAAAAAAAAAAAACAAACATTATTTTCATCAATGTTGAAAACAGTTGTGCTGCTTAAAATTTTTGTGGAAATTGTGATACTTTTTTTTGGTTTCTTTAATAGTTGAATAATATAAGTTTTGCTATGGCTGGTTGGCGCCAGACTTTAGACTCTGGAGATGTTTTTTGTAACACTATTAACACACACACTATTAATGCTATTGTTGTCATCCCATTGTCCTCCTCCAGCCCAGCAGAACCCGGTTGTGCCTGTCCTGCCCCGGCAGCAAGAGATCGTCATGAACAGACAGCAACGCTTCTTTCGCATTCCCTTCATCCGACCAGGAGACCAATACAAAGACCCTCAGAACAAGAAAGGATGGTGGTATGCACACTTTGATGGGCCTTGGATTGCCAGACAGATGGAGCTGCACCCGGATAAACACCCCATTCTGCTGGTGGCAGGTCTGATTCACTTTCACTGTCATCTTTTTCTCTCATTTGGAGATGTCGGTTCATTGCCTTACCTCACTTTAATTTCTCACAGCATTACATTTGCTCTTGAGAGAAGCTGTTGGTGTCAGTGAATTGTGTTTCTGATAGAGATACTCAGTACATTGGTAACTGCATCAGTTTTTCCAAAATTGTAAAATAATGAGATCGGTGGAGAGCAGCATCACTCATTACATCACTACTTTTTGGCTGAATTGTTTTACAGTATATGCCAACCTTTACAGCCAAGTGTATTGAGGAAAGTCTTTCAGATCAATCTCAGCATTTTGTATTAACAAATAATTTTATTTAATATAGTAATGTGTAGTTAAAGGTAACTGTTCATCAGTTTTAGGTGAATTAAAATAGGCTGTGTTCACACTACAAGCGTTAGTGCTCTATTACCATTTAATGTTTAGATACGATTTTTTTGTTTGGCTGTTCACATTGTTTTTTTTTTAAATATGGCCAATATCAGATTCCAGTGTGAACGAATGACGGTCCTAAACTGACCCGTATGTGCAAAAGAACGATAACAATATGGCATGAAGCACACTCAAGTAAGCGTTTGTGCATTCATTTATAAGCTGATGTGCCACAAAAGCCAGTGAATCCAGTGAAGGAGGGCAAAGATGAGGAAAAAGTGCAAAGTTTTTAAATATTTACTGTTCGACCCCTTATGTTTAGCTTGTGGAGCTGTCACTGTAATAATTAAGAGTTTAACACCTCACTGTCTTTCTACTGAATACATCCACAACTGTCTGTAATATTCACTGAGTGATCAAAGAACTACCAGTATGTAAAATCATTGGAGTGACTCCCATCAGCACAGAATTATGACGAATGTCGTTCTTGAATGATATGACCATTCTAACTCAGGTCTCATTGCAAACATCAGACCTGAATCTGATTTAGGACCACGTATGAAAGTATCCCAGATCTGAATCAAAAATATTGTGCTGTTCACACTGTCATAAATATATGAGCCACATAGGAGCAGTATCTGTTTAATGCAGTTACTGTTATTGAAATCCTCATTGTCTTTTGCCAAAAAAAGAAGACTAATTACTAATAAACAATTACGTTACTTGAAAAGAAAAATTCAATATTCATGATATTAAATGATATGATCAGATTACATTTAACTCTTTTGAACTGTATTAAATTATGAGTAGCTTGACAAGCTACAGTTTCAGCAATAGCTTCGGCAACACTGGGGGTTTATTATTATTTTTTTAGTCCAATTTGCTTACTTAATATAGGGATGCACTTGAAGTAATTCTGGTATCAGGCTAATGAATTTCCTCATTTAGTGATAGCCGTCATACTCAAAAATGCTCTGATAGAAACATCCCAAAAGTTTGTGTTTGTTGTTATCACTGTACTGTACTTTATTTTATTAAATAAATTTTTATGAGTTTATTACTTGCATACAGCATGGCTGAAATTGTTGTTGTCGGTAATAAGTACTAACAATTCACATTTTATATTTTGTTCACTAGAATCATTAGAATCTAGATTTCATTAGAAGCACATAGAACTTTAGTGTTCCCTTTCAGTCGGTCACTCTCGACATCACGTCAGTATTGACCGACGAAATTGGTCTCTCTAAGCGAGATTCCAATCTACTTTGAGTGTAACTAAACAAGCCAATGCACATTGGCATGTGATGATTGCATCCAGCTGCCGCTGATCGCAGCACGAGTATAATTAGGCAGCAGGTCTACCGCATACTCAGCTTTTCGCTTCGGAGCCGAGCAATCACATCGTTCTGCTCCTGACTACTCTACAGAGAAGGCTGAATGAGTTCAGCGCACTCTTTGGAGCTTCTTGGTGCTGGCGGTATGGCACTTCAGCAATGGTGGTTTCCCATGTCGAGTGTGTTTCACACATCAGGCTGCACTACCCCCTGTTTGTGTTGCAGGCAGCCATCTCACCCTGTGCGCTTCAGCACGCTAAATACGTTTTTTTCCCTAAAAGAGCATTCACGGGTGCGTCTTTTTAAAGATAACGTTGCGTCTGGCAAACTCGACGTTGCTTCTTTGTAAAGACAACATTGCATCTTTCTAAAGACGACGTTGCGTCTTGCTATAGACAATGTATCACCCGTGCATTTCTGGTGGCGTTCGTGGATGAGTCATGTTCTCATTACAGGAAGATGACCATCTCAGAGTTGCTGACCAGGCTCCATTACCTCAAAAGGGGCGGAGCTCCGTTGCCTCCACCTCGTTCTAGTTCTCGTCCTGGCGGCAGTCAGGTGAGGACTACTTCAGGCAGTAGCACGGGCGGTCTGAGGGTAACCGTGATGGCAAACCTTCCAGGGAACCAACCCTCAGGGGACCATCGCTCCTCCTGCACTCCGCAACCAGTTGAGCTGCCAAAGGATCGTGTTGGGCCCTCTACAAGAAGCGTACCAGCAGTATCCTTAGGCGCTCCTCCCGACAATCGGATGTCAATCGCTGCATCGGAGGATGAGTCGAAGCTTTTTGGAGAGGAAGATTCGGCTGCGCTGCCGCCCTCTGGGACGGTAGCAATGCCTGAATTGGATCCGGAAATGATGGCTATGCTTTCCTGGGCCGCCAAGAGGGTAGGGCTCGAGTAGAGACCTCCACACCTCCACTGTGTCCTGAGCCCTCAAGGTTGGACGATTGGTTTCTCGGGGTGGTCCACGCTGGTTCTCAGCGCCCCGCCCCGGTGTTATTCTTCCCGGAGGTGCATGAGGAGCTTACCAGGTCAGGGACGGCACCTTTTTCTGCCGGAAACCGACCTGCTAACTCCTACTCCCTCACCACTCTCGATGGTGGTGTAGCTAGGGGGTATACGTAGGCAGGCCACCCCACCCGTCCAGGCCCCCTGTCAAACCTGGCGGTAAGCGGAAGAGCAAGAGGCCCCGGGATGGGCGACCCAGAGAGGGAGGAAACTGCTCTTTGGGAGATAGTGAACGCACCTCTCCCTCCCCCAGAGGAGGGCTGGGTGGAGAATCTTTGTTTCCAAAAATCTCGACAGTAGAGCAGTTTTCTCTATCTCTGGGTCCCAACAGGACACAGGGAGTCACGGACGGACCCAACCTGAACCACACTCTTCCTCCTCTGATGCCAGCAGGCAGCACCGGGCGGTTCGAGAGCGTCATCAAAGGCCCTACTCACGCACCCTCTGCCCAACCGTGGAACCAGGTAAGCGTTGCACTGCACACTCAGACCCCTCTTCGGTCCACCTACGAGCCACCCGGGCTGGGTCCCGGGTACCGCAGGATCTGCAGGTACGTGGTGGTTCCATTGGTGCCACTTGTACAGTATCTGGGAGACTGGCTAGCGCTGCCCAGTCCGTCTCGCTGACTCCTTCAGACCATCAGACTTGGCTATGCGATTCAGTTCGCCCGGCGTCCCCCCAAGTTCAGGGGCGTCCACTTCAGTGAAGGCAGCCGATGCCCCTGTCTTACGTGCGAAGATCGCAGTCCTACTGGCGAAGGACGCGATAGAGCCAGTCCCTCCAGCCGATATGAAGACAGTAAGGTTTTACAGTAGGTTTTACAGCCCTTACTTAATTGTACCCAAGAAAGGCGGTGGGCTATGACCAATCTTGGACCTATGTGTCTTGAACCGGGCCCTTCACAAGCTACCGTTCATGATGCTCATGCAGAAACGCATCTTCGGATGCATTCGTCCGCGAGATTGGTTTGCAGCAATCGACCTGTGGGATGCGTACTGTCATGTGTCGATCCTTCTGCACCACAGACCATTTCTGCAGTTTGAAGGACGTGCATATCAATACAAGGTCCTGCCTTTCGGGCTGTCCTTGTCCCCCGGTGTCTTCACGAAAGTTGCGGCCCTTCACAAGCTACCGTTCATGATGCTCATGCAGAACCGCATCTTCGGATGCATTCGTCCGCGAGATTGGTTTGCAGCGATCGACCTGTGGGATGCGTACTGTCATGTGTCGATCCTTCTGCACCACAGACCATTTCTGCAGTTTGCGTTTGAAGGACGTGCATATCAGTACAAGGTCCTGCCTTTCGGGCTGTCCCTGTCCCCCCATGTCTTCACGAAAGTTGCAGAGGTGGCCCTTGTTCCCCTGAGAGAGCAGGGCGTTCGCATTCTAAACTACTTCGACGACTGGCTCTTACTATCTCAGTCTCAGGATCAGTTGTGCAAGCACAGGTACTTGGTGCTCTTGCACCTTAGCCGGTTTGGCCTTCGGGTCAACTGGGAAAAGAGAAAACTCTCCCCGACGCAGAGGATCTCTTTTCTCGGTATGGAGTAGGATTCGGTCAAACAGACAGCACACCTCATGGAGGAATGTGCTCAGTCGGTGTTGAACTGCCTGAATATGTTCAAGAGCAGGATGGCGGTCCCACTGAAACAGTTTCAGAGGCTCCTGGGGCATATGGCAGCTGCAGTGGCGGTCACGCTGCTTGGGCTGCTTCATATGAGACCGCTTCAACACTGGTTCCATGGCCGAGTCCCAAGGTGGTAGGGGTGGAACGGTTCTCGGAAAAAAATTGAACCGTACGGTTCTCCACACACGGTTCTCTGAAAGAGGGAACTGAGACGTCAAGTCCCGTAGCCACGGCTGCTGTATCACCGCTGAGCTGCCGGGTCACCGGCTTGGCTCCTCAGCGAAAATCTGAGTATGCGTTGCACCTGCTGCCTAATTATACTGCCGCTCCGATCAGCGGCAACTGGATGCAGTCATCGCATGCCAGTGTGCATTGGCTTGTTTAGTTACACTCAAAGTAGATTGGAATCTCGCTTAGAGAGACCAATTTCGTCGGTCAATACTGACGTGATGTCGAGAGGGACC